TAAACGGGGACTTTAACTGCAACGGCGCAGCTCGGCTCCGTTCTACGTCTGAAACGTAAAGAAGTAGGGCTGCACCAGCGATTACTCTAGTAACTATAATCGGATGAAAATATTTGGCACATTCTACAGATTTTTCATCTATACAACATTGGAAATGCAAATAAATAAATTGTTTTTATTTTTTAAATACAAAAATTAACATTTTATTTCCTAAAATTCAATAACACAGCGTTCCTTTAGTTGATTTGATCTGAGTGAAACTAAAATTATCCCACTTAAGAAGTTTTGGATAAAACATATATATAGAAAAAGGTGTTTTTTAGTCTTAAAGGCAAATTTGACATAAATTTGATTAAGTTTTGGTTTAATTACTGCTTTGATTATGTTGTTCTTACAGCAAAAGCCTTTTTTGAGTCCTTATCCAGTTAATGATTAATCAATTACCAAATTATTTGACAATTATTTCAACTAATCATGACTAAATAAATACAAATATTGCTGAAAACAGAGATTATTTACTTGTCCTTTCAGGAAGTGCTATCAAAAGTTACAAGTAAGACATGCTATCTAAGCTCCAAGAAGAAAAAAAAAACAAATAAATGTAACTTTACAATAACAAACTGTTTTATTTTTTAGCTAAGTCTCTTGTGCCAAACATTTGGAGGTGAACAGTTCTTGTGTTTGAGGTTTTCCTATAAAATTAGTGAAGGATGGAAACTGATTTTAATATTGTTGGAAATGTATTAGGAAGGATGGAAAGACGTTTGTATTTCCAAACTGTTCTGTTCTCTAAATGTTGTGTCCTTCCTTTTTTGGTATCTTTCCTTTCTGACTTCTGCCCTTCCTTCCTTTAAGTCCTTAATTCTGTCTTTTTTTCCTTCCTTGTGTCATACCATCCTTCCTGCCGTCCGTTATGTTCGTCCTTCCTTCCTTCCTGATTAGATTGTTCCATTTTTCCTTAGTTCCTTTCCTTCTTTCCTTGAATTATTCTACTTTATAAATATGCAGTTTATAGTTTTTTTAAATATATTTTCTATTAAGTTGGATATATTTTGTTACTATTATGTTGCTTTCCTTCCTTCCATCTCTGTACTCTTTTCTTGTTTTTTTTTTCTTTCCTTCCTTTTAACTTTTCCTCTTACTACTTTTCCTTTATTTCCTCTGTCTATTTATCTCTCCCTTCCTTTTTCATATGTATCCTTTTATTCTTCTTTTCTTCATCCCTTCTGTCCTTGTGTCCTTCTTTCCTTCCCTCTTTCTATTTCTTTGTATTCTTAATTCCTTCTTTCCTTTTTTGTTGTATCCTTTATATTCTTCCTGTCTTTGTTGAATCCTATATCATCTTCCTTTTTTCCTTTCCGTTTTTTAAATTGTTTTTCAGATGATCTTTGTCTGATTTTAAACTTAGTTCAATTAAACATTGACTCAAACAAAAATGTTTCCTCAGTTTTTAATTTACAGAAAGGTTTCTGTAAATGTTGCAGCAGTGATTCTGTGAAAAAAAACAAAAACTCATAAAACATTGGATTAAAAAAACATTTCTTATCCTTATACTGGCTGCATTTTTCTACATTTTTCTTCGAGATTATTCTTCTGCAATTAAAGCATGAAACTATTATCAAGCTTCAGACATTTTCCAGAGGGAAATGTATAATAATTTCTGTAAGTGAGTTGTGTATTTTATGAATCGGCTCCCTGACAAAAACAAAAATCCCTATTTTATGGCTGATCTATTTTTTGGTGCAGGTAAATATTTCTGAAGAAAGCAAATAAAAGTGTTGGCCTGAGCAAGTATTTATTCGGATGATCTCTTCGAATTTGCTAAGGTGGGGCCTACGCTGCGACAGGCAGGCAGGTGTGTTAACTGTCTCTGGGTTTGGAGTAAATTTATGAGGCTGTTTTGTGTCTCGCTGCCTCAGGCTTTGTTAGCATGCTGCCGCGCTCGGTGGACTTTGGATTTCACGGTGGGGTTGATTGCTGCTTTGCTGCGACGTAACACATCTAACATTTCCAGCCGTCCACGATGTGTCGCTCTTTGTGTGTGTGTGTGTGTGTGTGTGTGTGTTTTATGATTCAACCTTTAGTGTTTTATATACTTATTAAGCTTTTCACATTATAAATATAAAAAAGACAATTCTAAGAGAAAGGAGCAAAAAACAAACAACCAACCAGCCAACATTCCCACAAATACTGTCACCGACAAGGTATTTAGTCAAAAATAAAAAAAATTAAATCAAGACCTACAAAAACCAATGTCCAACATTTATGGAACCACTGCTGTGCCAAAATTTCAATTCCAGGTTTTCTGAATATGATTACATTTTTTAATTGGGATAATACTTCATTATTCTCAAGGGGAAAGAATGTTTCAAATTTTAATTAATTTATTGAAGGTATAGTTGAAACAGGTGCAGCTTTGGTTCAAACTACTGGCAAAATTCACTACATTTAAACCACATAAATTGGTCTTTTCCTTTCGTTCTAACTGCTTAATAAAAAACAAAATTGTTATGAAATTTGTAAATTGTTAAATTTACAAATTCAAAGGGAATCTATTATGCACATTCCTTGGAGTCTGAGCTCTAAAAACAACTCAAGTGCTTAAGAACAACAACAAAAAAACTCCCAGTCATTTTAAATTAACATGTTAAAATTTCCAGCCCTGAATTTTACTGGAAATACTTCAACATTTCAGTATTTCTAACGAAATAGAATACTTTTGCTGCAAACTTTTGTTGAGTTCCGGGAGATTTAACATACTCTAAAGCAGGTGTAGGATAAATTTTTAACCAAGTTCAGCATAAATCTGAATTGAAATCTCTTTGAAATGTATTTATTTTGGCCTTTTGCGATAAAAAAACAATAAATAGATAAGAAAAAAAGATAATGCTTTGTTATAAAAACTTACTATGTAAAGGAAGGAGATAAATAGCCAGACAGACAGACTCCAACGTCTCTCTGCCCAGCTTTATAACCATACGACCAGACAGAGATTTAAAAAGGAGTGGCAAAAGCAAATGAAGTGGATTAGCATTGCTTGCTAACAACTTATGGTGTCATGCAAGAAATGTTCCTGTGGAATAATGTCTGGTTTCCCCCATAAAACTTGCTAAGCCCGATGCTCAGGGTGTTTTCGCAGGCATCCAGCCGAACGCCGTGATTTTGAGTCAGAAAATGTTTAAAGTTGACAGGAAATTTTAAAATATTATTTGATAGCTATGCATTTTTGGAAGACTGGAAGATTAATGCCTTCCAACTGAAAAGTCTTAAAAAGGGCAAAAATATAAAGAAAAACCAATAAATTAACAACACTAAACCTGGTGGGGACACAAGTAAAGCCTGGGGGCCCGCCAGGCTTATAATACTCAGAGGGAAACCCCGAGATCAGTCATGATGAGATTGTTATTCGACAACAGTCTTCAGTCAGTGTTTTCAGATTAATTGCAAGACTGAGTGCTACCAACCTGCCCATAGCATCACCATCGACTAGTTGAATGTTTCTCATATAATTCAAGTTATGACAAAAATAGTTTTCCCTTTGAGATAAGAATATTTTTGACATAAGATCTTTTAAAATGCTTTGTGAAATGAGATGAAAAGGATATTTCTGTTGAGGTCACCCCCCTGGTCTTCTCCATCCTACAATGACGAGCAGATGATGAGAGTATCACTTCTCAGCATTTTTGAAGAAAGTTTTACTCTCCGACTTGCATCGGATAAGGGACTTAAGGAGGTCGGTGTTAACTTGAAATCAGCCATTTCACTGTTGTCCAAAAGAGGAGGACGTTGAAAACAATTGCCAACATTCCCAGGTCTGAACGTCAATGAAAGTTCACCATGAAAGCAGACCGTAAGATGCTAAAAGAAGTCTCCAAAAACCAGCAAGATGACATCGTGGGAAAGAGCCTGAACAACCAGGAAGACTGTACCATCTTAACTTTCATGGGAAGGAATGTGAAGGAACCACAGAGACTAAAACTGGACACCAGAACAGAGGACATCTGGTATCTAATGTAGCGTTCCATAACGAAGTCTTAATAAAGAATAAGTATTCAGTGTTTGTCCTCATTTTTTACATAATTTTTATAAATTTGCTTTTCTGTGTATTTGTTCTTTGTTGTAAACCAAACCCGTCTTCAGTGTTTGTTGCCTGAAAGATCAATCTTAGTTCTGCCTAATCAAAGCCCACAGTTTGTTAAAGTACCAGCAACATCAAGAACCTGTAGATAATTATGACTGTTGGACAAAAATAACGACATCCCATGATTCATCCATCCAACAGTCCATTCATTCATTCGTTTGTCCATTCCTCCATCCATCCATTAGTCCATCTATTTGTCCGTCCGTCCGTCCATCCATCCATTCTTTCATCCGTCCGTCCATCCATTAGTCCATTCATTCTTTCATTCATTCATTCATTAGTCCATCCATCAATCCATCCATTCATCCATCAGATGATCCATCCATCCATCCATTAGTCCATCCATTGAAGCAAACAACCTGTGATCCAAAAGTCTGTCTGTCTGTCTGTATCTATCCCAAAAAAAATTAAATATCTAATAATGTGATTTAAAATGTTTTAAATGTCTAATAACGTGATTTAAAATGTCTAATAATTTGATTTAAAATGTTTGAAATGTCTAACAATGTGATTTAAAATGTTTTAAATGTCTAATAACGTGATTTAAAATGTCTAATAACGTGATTTAAAATGTTTTAAATGTCTAATAATGTGATTCAAAATGTTTTAAATGTCCCATAACGTGATTTAAAATGTTTTAAATGTCCAATAACGTATAGCAAAGTGAACAATCATAGCCCAGTTAACCCCAGTTCTTACAGGAACCATGTCAACTGGTTCCCAGTGCGGGTCAGGGCCATCTCACCAGCAGACAGAGACCCAGCCCCTCTTGTAAACAGGCGTCCGGCCTTCCACCCACTCTGCCGTTTATTTCCTCACTTTTATCATCACTCTCGCCGCATCGGGGCTAAATCTGTAACGGCTCGCCTGTTCCAACTTCACCCAGTTATAAAACGCCGTCGCCGGGCCGCCCGGTCGTGAACGTTACAGTTTAACGGAGGTTTGTCCGCGGCTACTTCCTGGTGCCACAGAGAGAGGCAGTGCTGAGTTAAAGAGACAGAAACACTGGTGGAAATTCAGACAGAAAAAAAAGCCACCGAGAGAGGAGAGGGGCTGGAGACGTGATAGGAACAGTTGACCGGATTCCCAGAAATTGAAATCCCCCCCTCTCACTCTCTCTGTCTCTCTCTCCCTCTCTCTCTCTTTTTTTTCTTTCTGTTCTTATTTATGTATATATTTTAAACATTTCCTCGGTGAATCGAGCGGTTGTTGTTCGTCGGCGCGGATGACGGTCTGCTGCGGCTGAAGCGGGATCGTAACGGGGGAACATATTCCTCCCTCCGACGGACGGACGGACGGAGAGAAGCCTCGCAGAGATTTATTATTACCATTATCATCGCTATTTTCACAGCACACTCCTCGTCGGTGCGGCTGCTATTATTTTTTAAACCCCATCCTCCTCGGCTGCCATTTTTGTTCCTTCTCTTTACAACGATATTATTTTTAACGGCTCCGCTCGGAAGGGTTGAGGGTGACGGAAGATGGGTTGTTTGGGCAACAGCAAGACTGAAGACCAACGCATCGACGAAAAGGCACAACGAGAAGCTAATAAAAAGATAGAAAAGCAGCTACAGAAGGAGAGGCAGGCGTATAAAGCGACACACAGGCTCTTACTGCTGGGTAAGCGGTGGTTTGGTGTTTAAAATGTGGACTAATCCGTCTCGTTTGCCGAACACGTAGCCGTATTTTTGACAGCGGCAATAATATGTCATGGGGGTGGATGTTGATGGAAGCTCCACAGCCTTGTAATCATTAATAATAGCAATTTACCCCCACCTTTGAGCGTATTTACCCCCTAATGTGTGGGCAGGATGTAGTCGCCTGGTGCTAAATCTGTGTTTTTATATATATATATATTTATATTTTTTTCTGTCGAAGGTGCGGGAGAGTCCGGAAAAAGCACCATTGTGAAGCAGATGAGGATTCTACACGTCAACGGCTTCAACGCTGAGTGAGTGCTGCGCATTTAAAAACTGCACAGAAAATAACATGTAATGCTGTCCTTTATGGCTACTCTGCTAATGAATAACGCCGCCGAGGCCAGCACACAGCCTGCTGCCACTGCAGCGCCTGTTGGGGCCCTGCAACCACCATGCAAACCTGCTAATATCTGCCTCTTCCACCACTATTTCTGCTCTGGTTTTTTAAAAACAGCTACACTTATAAATGTAAGCCTGTCAGTGAAAAAAAATCCCCAACAAAAACCGTTTCCTGTTTCATGCATGGGGCAAAGAAAGGTTGTGATCGACATAGGCCTATTGATGATTTGTTTTGCTGCAAGGCCTTGCATGGCATTGATCTTAACTGTGGTCTGTTTTAAACAGGCCTGCAACATGTCAGAGTCTTTTAACTGCAGGAAAATCCTCTGCATGTGTATTGACATTAAAGACAGGCTGCGAGGTTTAGCAAAGATTTAAAAATTAGAATGATGGGGTAAATTATTTCAGCATTGTTTTTGATAATGATCAAATTATTACGCATCCTAGACAAGTTTTTTTGGCATAAATTTAACCCCAAATGGTTTTTGGTCTATTCTGCTGCTTAAACATTTTAAATATCAAAGACTGAACCCTGTTTTCTCTTATTGTCTGAACTAATTTGAACTAATGTCTTACAATGTTTATCTGTCAGATAAACATAGATGAATTAATTACATGTATTTACCAAAGCAAGCCAGTATTAGTTATTGACATTCAAATCATAAATACTATTCTTTTTAGATCATAATTGAATCGTAACTTCTAATAATAAGCAAAGCTGTCTAAATGCTAGGAAGCATTCATTTGATGGCTTTATACTGAGGAGAGACAGCCTTACTATTGAGATTTAACTGCAAAAAGTTAAATTAAGTGATACTGCAACAAGAAAAGTTGTTCCTGTTTTCAATTTACTCAAAATCTTCCAAAACATCTGTATTCTAAATTAAACTGTCCCTTGTTTAGCTCGTATGTTGAAGGAAGAGGTGAACAATTGATTACTGATTGTTGTTCAGGGCTTGATCAACTCAGTTGCCCCAACTATATGTTATATAATAAACTGAGTATGATTCTTAATGGCTGTCAGTACCAATAGTTATTGCAGCTTAATAAAATGTAACATGGCGTACTGACATTTAGAAAGACAAGGCAATCTTACAAAATGAGATTGTGGTAAGTAAGAGTTCCTCCAACAAACTGAATATTTTATTGCCAAGCAAAGTGTGAAATATTTAAATGACAACAAACAGTTCAAACTGAAGTGCTATTTATGCATTTCCCCTTACTTAGAAGACAGTGTATTGTTAAAACCTCTGCTGTGTCAGTTTCTTTTTCTAGCCTTAGGTGACACTGGTGCACACACAGTGGTGCTAACGTAGCTTAGCGGCAGTGGTTAGCCTAAAAATAAATGCCAGATTTTCAAAATAGAAGCAGGCTAATCTGATTTGTGTGCATGAAGAAGAACGCTAGCATTTTAAACATATTTAAAACAAAATGTTTTAAAGTGGCGGCTAAAAGTGTACAGCTAATTACCTGCAAGTCTGCTTACAAATGTAGCTGTTTTCTTATTTTACGTATTTGTACGACACAATCACTCCTGTAAGTTTGTTTCTGTAAATAACGCATGCTATTTTCAGCAACTGGATGGATAAAACATTAATATGCCATATGTTTACATACTACTGCTGTAGCTAATGATTGTTTTAGGAATCGATTATTCTGACGATTAATCGGATAAGAAAACGGACCCATTCTGCAGATTTTTCATTTGATCACTTAAGCAGTCTTCATACAATGTTAGGAAAACATTAAAATATAAAAATAAACAAATAATTTTAAATTAATTTTTCCAATCAGAATTTATTTAAACCAATCGAAGCTAAAATTGCTAGTCGAAGACTTTTGGTTAAAACATATTTACAGACAAAGGTGTTTTTTTTTTGTTCTTATCTAAAATGCAAAATATTTTCTTAGTTATTACTCCAACTGTGTTGTTTATTCAGGAAAATTTCCTTTTTTATAGCCTGTAGAAGGATTAATCTATTACTGAGTTAGTTGACAATTAATTTGATTAATCTCGATTAATCCGATTAATCGTTTTAGCTCTGCTACATTCAAGAAATCATAGATAAATCAGCTTTGGTTTCCTATTCTTTATTAGAGGAGTATTTTAAGAGCGACATGTCAAAGGATACATTGAGAGGCAAAGGTACAAAGAACTTGTGAAACGAGATCCATCCTAAAAATAAAAATCACTTCTTAATAGATATAAATTTAGCAAAATATTCACCATGGATCCAAATGGAGTTTTCACCATGAATCAATGGCTCATTATTTCCAGTAAGATCCTGGCAACCCACCAAAGAGTATTTGTATTTTAGACTTTAAAATCTGGGAAGAATCATTTTTTAAATATTTTTTGCTTCTAATAAAATGGTGGAAAAGTGAAACGTTGACGCATCAATAATTATTGAAGCTGGTCGTTCTGGTAGTTTTATACATAATCATAAATTCAGCAGGTCTTGAAAGTGAAGTTACTTCTGGTTTAAGCTCTAATCATATAATATACATGTAAATTTAATCCGAGACGTACAAAGAAGTTCATTTTAAGTTAAACTTTAATAAATGTTTTGTGTTTGTGCGTGGCTTGCCAAAGTAATTTTAACCAAAAACAGACAGATAGACATTTCTGGTCATGGATTGTATGATTTATTTGTCTTTCTTTTATTAGAACGTACGATAGCAACAAATTTGTAACAGTTTTTTGTGTTTTTAAGCTGCTTATGGAGTCCAGTATCATTTTTGGGAGCAGTACATGCCTGACCTGTGTAGCTTTGGGCTAAAGGAGGCACATTGTTGACCATTTTTACCATGATTTCGAAGATAACCAGAAGGTCTGTGGACCAACTGTGGGTCGATGTCCAAAATCTGAACACATTGAGCAAAAGAAGCGCAGAATAAAAAGACTGAAAACCATCTTCTAAAACCATTTCCTGGTTTTAGAGGACATGTTCGGTCCATAAACCTTCCATCCTGATGTGTGTCCTTCCTTTGCTTCCAAACTGTCATTTTTATCTTTTCTCTTGTATTTTTCCTTCCTTGTGTCCTCACTTCCTTTGTTCCCTGTGTCTTTCCTTGATTTAATCCTTTCTGGTGTCCTTCTGTGCTTCATTTCTTCACTATCCTTACTTTTTTTCATCTTTCTTTTGTTAATTGTCTAACTTCCTTCCTTCTATTTATTCTTCCTTCCTTCTATCCTTTTTTCCTTCCTTCCTTTGCTCCTTCCTTTTGTCCCTCTTTCCTTCGCTGGTTTTGTCCTTCCTTCCTTTTGTCTTTCCTTTCTTTCTTCGTTCCTTTTGTCCTTCCTTCCTTACTTCTTTCTTTTCTTCCTTCCTTCCTTCCTTCCTGTCTAAAACCATCTGGATAAATGTCTTTGCTACATTTAGCATTTACATTTAAATCAAAGTGACAAACTGAATTTCAGTCTAAAGCCTTTATAAAAAATGTGTTAGATCCGTCTGTGTGTGCTTTATTTATTTATTTTGTTGTTTTGGTCTTCACTTCCTCATCAGTGTGTCTTGTCTCCATGCAGAGAAAAGAAACAGAAAATACAGGACATTCGGAAAAACGTGAAGGATGCCATAGTGGTGAGTTTTCCTCTGAGAGTTTGTTGTTGCATCCCATTTTACTGATTATTATACCGGCTTTTTAGCACCCCCCCATATCCCCTCCTCCTCCTGTATTCATCCTGCTTAGTGCCTTTTCTGTTTTTTTGTCTCCCATTTCTGGTTTATAGACTATAGTGTCTGCGATGAGCACTTTAATACCCCCAGTCCCAATAGCCAACCCAGAGAACCAGTTTAGGATCGAATACATCAAAAGCATAGCACCACTCTCAGACTTTGACTATCCACAGGTAAGTGCCTTCTCTTTTAAAAACTTCCTGTGAATGTGTTTTTGCTTGTGTGCTGTATGCGTGTGTTTTTAATCTCGCCCCCACCTCACAACGCGCGCTTACGTGGGCGTTAGATGCCATGTGATATAATGGGTTTGGTGTTTCAGCGGCGAGGTATGTCGGACAACGGCGATGCAGGAGATAAAACTCAGGCCGCTTTTAGCTGGAAATTTGCTGCTTCCTTCATCCCGTCACACATTTCTACAGAAGCCGTTTACATTCAAGCGGATGAGAACGGGAACCTGTCGGGCGGCTCGGTTCCCTGTTAACCGTGTGGATTTGAATGCACACGGGATTCTTCTGTGTGTGTGATCAGCCATTCAATAGCACGAGGTCATGTGTTGGAAATGTAGATAATGTTTTACATAATTCTGAAAGTGTTCCTTGTTTGACACTGGCCGTGTAGTGCCACAGAGCAGGAATGACGAATTGATAAAGAGCTATAGATAGATTTTTACTGTAACCGAACAGAAGTGTGAACGGTTAATCTGTAGTCCGCCTGTTGGTCTGCGCTCCGGAGAGCCGGCTCTATAGTTCACTAACACAAAGTTTCACCAAGCATTTTGGTTCTAGATAGTAGTCAAAATATCTTAGTTTACTTTAAATACATCCAAAAATGACTTATAAGTAACATTTAAGCAAGATATAGTGTAGGGGTGTCCAAAATGCGGCCCGGGGGCCATTTTTGGCCCTGGGGTGAATTTTGTGTGACAAATCAAGACTGGCACAAACATGGCCTTCCAACACCTTTTGTAATTTTTTCAATTATGTCTTCTTAAACTGAAAATGTTAAGGAAAACATACATAATTGTTCTTTAGTTACTCTTTTTTTATTTAATAAAAACACGTAGCAAGGTTTTTTGTTTTTTTTTACTCAAAAACAAACTTATTTGGCAATAAAAGAGAGGAACGTTTGTAGAAGAAAATTCTTATTTTTGTTACTGGGAATAAACTACAAACATTTCATGACCTTCATGTTGAGCCCAAAATGACTATAAATATTACATGCTTTATTTACTGATGTGCAGGTGAAATAGAAGGAATTTACCACATTATGGGTTATTAATTGGCCCCTGAAAACTTCATGCAAAAAGTTTGGACACTCCTGATGCAGGGGCTTGTTTTAAGTCAATATTTACTTAATATTGATGAAAAACTACCAGTTCCATTGACAGATAATTTCATTTATAACAAAACATTCTCCTCATATCCTGAGTTAAATAATCTGCCAATGGAACTAGAACTTTTTTATCAATATTAAGAAATGATTTGCTTAAAACAAACTCCCATATCTTACTGAAAAGAAACTAATTTTGTCTTATTTCAAGCATACTAAGATATTTTCACTAGACACTAAATAAAAAATACTTTTGCAATTTTGCAATGTGGCTGTTTGCTTTCATTTGCTTTATGAGTTGAAAATAAATAAAGAAAGTCACTGTCAAAATGTTTATTCTGAGAAAATCAAAAGACCAGTGCAAGAGAAAATAAATTATTTTCCAACATTTGGCAAAATTCAGAAGGAATTTTATATATTTTTTCCTAATTATGTTGCTACAAATCAGTTATATTTAAATTGTGCACACTTTTTTAGGTGCCTTCCAGCAGAAATAAAATTATTTTTTATTAGTTAGAGAGGTCAGAGGTCTGAATTGGCTCATCTCTGATTGGAAAAATTGGGAAGCGTCGATTTACCAGCCGGCCAATTTTCTTAATTTTGGGAGATCAGTGGTTGGCCGATGCTTACATGTGAAGTCGATCTTATCCACTGATCTTATTTACCTCAGCAAAGGTCTAAAAATCAGCCACTGTCCTCTTGTGCGACAGAGATCTGACTGACAGACCGGCCCACCAGGTCATGTCTGTTAATAATCAGCTCACTGTTGCCAACTCAGCAACTTTCTTGCTACGTTTAACAACATTTCAAACAAAAAAACATTGGCATCAGTCAAAATCAAAATCAGCATGTCAGGCCTTTTAAAGATGGGTAATCTGTGTTCAGCCAGGAAGCTGCAGCAGTAAAAACAGGATAAATGTGCATCTGCACCCTTCTTTTTTTTCTTGTGCATAACAGAGCGGGTGAACTGAGTAAATGCAAAAAAATAATGCAGGGAAATAAAGTTATTCAAGCAATCTGTGAAAATGTTTTTGTCCCCCAATTTTTATAACAACGTTTGCTAAATCTGCTAGTGAGGTTTTTGTTTTGACGCAGTCATATTGGGAAGTTTTTAGTTTGAATTGCCTTGAATGGACTTGGACTAGGCCATGCCACTTTTTTTTTTGTTTAAACTCCTCTAAAACTGACAGTTGGACATTTTCCTTTAGAGTTTTCTCAGAGACACCTTAATTCATGGACTTAAAGTCTTCCAGGTTCAGAAATAGCAAAGCAGCTCCAGAACTTCATACTAGATATTTTCATGTTAGACTTCCCAGAATGCATACATTTCAAATAGTTTTCTTTTATCTGCGCCATTTGCAGAATATGGTTATGTTCTGCGAGTGGTAGTGTGACAGACCATTTCTATAAGTGTAACAAACCTTTATTTTTCCTTCTTGCACGACGCTGGTTTTAACCTTGAAACTTTCACTGATGCCATTTTTGCCCAATCTCCATGTCGTTGAATCATGAACTCTGACCTGAACTGATGCATGTTAGTCCTGTAGTGCGTCAGATGTTGTTCTGGGTTCTTTTGTGGCCTTCTGAATGAGGCATCGTCTCACTTTTGGAGTAAATTTGGTAGATTGGCTGCACCTGACAAGGTTCCTTTCTGCTCTGTGCATCTTTGTGGCTTCATAACTGTCTCCAGACTGATACTTTTATTTATTTATTTATTTTTTGCTATACTTTTTAAGAAATCTGATAAAAGCTAGCAGGTACTGATATTAATACTTATTATTTAAGTATGATATATCATCTAACTTACAAACTTTTGAAATGTTTGATTAAAATATAGGACATAATTTAAAAAAATTATAAATGATTAAAAAATAATTTGACAACAAATCAAAGCAAAACTATTTTTATGGTTTAGTTGAGAAACTATAATAAAAATAAATACATTTCAAGATGAGATCTTAAATGAAAGTATCGATCTTATCATGTTAGTATCGATTAGGGCTGGACAATAAATCAGCAACAAAGTATATTGTGATAATAACACGTCTGACAGAATATTCAGTATGAAATTCATAGAATATTTGTTGAATACTAATTCAGAACTCCACTGCATTCTGGCAGATGAAGGCAGAGGAAAGAGTTTCTCTCGGCCGGCTCAGCAAGTTTGGTGAACTGGCTCAACCAGATAAACTGGTCGAGCCAGTTAATCTGTGGAAACACTTTGGACTCTGAAAACCACAATGTGCAGAATCTGCCACTCAATTTGCTACTTTGGATGACTCGCTCACTCTTTAGTTACCTAGCAACAACTTGCTAACTCCCTGGTTACCTAGCAACAACCTGCTGAGTAACTGGCACGGCAGCAGTTTCAGGTTTTGCTCTCATGCCTCATAGATGCTTAAAAAAAAACAGTGGGGTGGAGTAAAAACTGTGGGTAAAATAGGAAAGTTCATGCCACCAGTTTGGCACTATTTTAGATATTTAAAGCAAAAAACTAATCAATAATTATAGATAATTGTACATAAAATGCTTATATTGTCATAAGTTTTTCAGCCATATTTTTCAGCCCTGGTATTGATCCGATGCTTATACCAACTAGTGTCTATTGTCGATATATTTAGTTGAGGTAAATTTCATATAATAACTACTGTGCTCTCCCTCCCCCACCAGTTGCTGTGTCACTCACTCCAGCAGTTCTTTTTATTTTAAATGATATTGTTTCCACGTACCTTCCTCACACGTTAACCACAAAGTTTCACCTTCGAGCAGCTTTATTTAACGTTGCATCTTAAGAACCAGTTGGGTGTCAGGTTGTGTGAGGGGCCCCGGGGCCACAGGAGAGGCAGCGTTGGGTTCCCATCCCGAAAGCGAACAACATGGTTCTGTTTGGAGCGCCTGAACTTGTCATCAGTCTCGGGCTTCACTTGTGCCGTCAGTGTCGCCACCACATTGTCGCTCAGCGCCACCAGGCATGATATCCGGTGTCCCGGCCCATCCAATCGGAGAACCGGGGCTTTCATCTGGTGGCGCCGTTTTGAAACGTGGAAGCGCGTCTTGGTGGGAAAATACTGCACGGGTGATGTCATGTTTTGTGATAAGAAAGAGAAGAAGACAATAACTTGGGTGTTACTGAAATGAAATGTGTGTTTTTGCCAAACAACCAAGTAGTTAGAACTAAATGTACTTTTATGATAAGTATAGAAATGATTCACATCATCTGTTGGAGGACCTGCAGCTTGTGAATGTTTTATTTAGTTTGCTTTTTAGATATGTAATGGCATTACAATTGTGTGAATTCTTATGTCTAATGTGTGTAAATGGATTGAAATGGCTGACCAATGTTGGTGTTATCAGTTTTATCTCATTCTAATCAAATATTCATTGTCTTAAGATTTTATATTTTATACATTCCCTTCATGTTTAAAGGCGAATGGCTTGAAGTATAAATTTGTGGCATAATGGATGGAAGGATCATCCACTGGATACATTATATCTTGGTGGTAAACTGATCTGGTCAGTTAATTGGATTTTCTGTTTTTGAGTATTTAATTTTTAAAAAATTTGGATTTTTTTCCCCCCACTCGTTGCTATTTGTTTTTTTCCATTTGTTATTTTTATAACTTCAGTTTGACTGACATTAGATAGGTGATTTACTTGGTTACTTATTTCACATCCCTCTTTGTAACTTTCCAATTCTAGTTTTAGAAATGGCTCTGAGGGTATTTATAGTACCATCCAATCCAAAGAACAAACCAATTGGCAAAAATCTTTTATTTATATATATTCTAATTTGCAAGTATGACCTTACTTTGTGATAACTCCCAGCTGGTGCACGTTGAGCCCA